GAAGATGAGTCTATATCCGAATTCCCCAAAATGTTAAAATCGCCACCAATTATAAGTTTCCCTTGTTTATGTAAGGAGATGGTTTTGAAAAGTTTCCGGTAGAAACGTAACTGTTTGCAGTTTGGGCCATAAACATTTACTAGAGTGTGGGTTTTGTCGTTTTATTTGGCACACTAAAATATGGAAGCGTCCTTGTGGATCCGCTGTCTGTGAAATAATGCGGAATGAAAGAGAGTCATTTATGGCCGTGAGCACTCCATTTTTCTTAGTGGTGTTAGTTGCCATGAATATTTGAGAGAATCGGTGAAGGTATAATTTGGGTGATTTGTTAGCAGCAAAGTGTGTTTCCTGTATGAAGAGTATGTCCGCTCGTGACTTCCGTGCTTCTCTGGACAGTAATGACCGTTTATAAGGTGAATTGAGACCTCGGACGTTTAAAGACAGAAAGTTAATCATTGGCGTTTGTAATTCCAGGTTTTTCCGTTAACTGGAGTGTTATTTGGGAGAATCGGATGAGTATGTGTTTTTCCATGAAGGAAGATGATCGAATGAATGTGGCGTATATGTGACTCAGTTGAAGCGATAAAAAGAGTATTCCAATCTGTGTCGCCGTAGATGATCTTAGAGAATGGAGTGGATATCCAATGGTGCCAGGGTAAGGAAGTAGTGAGGATAGGGGAAACAATAAAAAAACCATTTGCGAAAAATGCAAACATCACGAGTAGCCAAGTTTGCTACCTCTAAACTGGGGGGTGCAGGAGAGCTTGATCACCGGGTGGTGGTCAAGCTAATTGCAAAAAGGAAAAAACCTTTGATCGGAGTAGAAGGGTGTAGGCCAAACGCCAGACAAATTAAGTGTATGAATGGCTCCTGGGAGAGCGGAGAAGTATGTAGAATGGTAAAGGAAAGTATGCCCTGTAAGGGCTATGTTGCGTCCATAGAACTATGCGTAGGATCCTGCGTTTCCGCAGGGATGATATTCCAGGATTTTAACAAATCCAGGCCTGCTTCCAGTGTTTTGATGGTAAAGATCCTACCATTTTGTCGCACCGTTAGTTTGGTGGGGAATCCCCATTGGTATGCTATGCCGTGGTTTCTGAGGGCCTTGGTGATTGACAGCATGCGTTTTCTGTTAAGGAGGGTCGCCTTGGATAGATCCGCATATAAGCTGAGATTGGTGTGTGACGGCGGGATCGGAGGCGGATTGCGGGCAGCTGACATGATTTTGTCTTTCACGTGGTAAAAATGAATGCGTGCTAAGACATCTCTAGGTGTAGATGCTGGTAAAAAGGAGGGTTTAGGTAAGCGGTGTGCCCGGTCAATTGCAAGTTCCAGGTCAGACACTGATGGCACGAGGATTTTGGCAAATTGCTGTATGTATGGGATTAGGTCATCGTTTGCCACAAATTCAGGTATTCCTCGGAACTTGATATTGTTGCGCCTTGACCTATCTTCCAGGTCGGCCAATTTTTGGTTAATTTGTTCTATGTCAGCAGAGTGGCCTGCATGAGCGTCAATTAAATTATTGTGCGCCGTGACGACGTCTCCCATGTTGTTCTCAATGTGGCTTATTCTGCGCTCCTGGTTTTGTACTATATTTGACAATTGACTGAGTGACGTGAGGATATCAGTATGCAGCGTTTGGCGCAGGGATGTGAGCATATTTCTCATGCATATTTCTGTGAGCGGTATATCTGATGCAGGAAATGCATCTATATCTGATGTATATGCTGCGGTTTCCGGGGTCTGCATTAATGTGCTGGGATCCTGCTCTAGCCGCGGCTTAGATTTAGCCGGGCTTCGTGATGTAGGGGATAGTGGGGGTGACAACTCACCAGGGTCCCCGGGATAAAGCAGGTGCTGCAGCCTGGGATCCTTTTGCTGGGATCTGTAGTCCTCCTGCTGGTCTCTGCCTTCCTCTCCCTCTTTGCAGCCGCGGGCGCCATCTTGGATTCCAGGCCCGACTGCAGGGAAGAACAGGGTCAGTTTACCTGGCTGATCCGCCGTTTTTTTTTCTTCTGGGCATAGCTGCAGAGGATCGGGTAAGGTAAGGGATCGGTGCGGTGCTGTGTCTGAGTCCCAGGGCCGGTGTGTGCCGGTCTGTGTCTGGCGGGTGGACGGAGCCGATTCACTACGCGTCCACCTTCAGTGCTGGCCGCGCATGCGCCCAGGATTTTTTTTTTTAATTAGTATCATTGTCAGTTAGTGTCAGTGTCAGTGTGTTTGAGGTAGGGAAAAAAAAAGCAAAAATGCACACTATTGTTTCTGGGCTGTATTACGGGTACGGGTACAAACAACAACTAACATATACAGTTGCAAGAAAAAGTATGTGAACCCCTTGGGATTATGTGGATTTTGCATGAATTGGGCATAAAATGTGCTCTGAACGTCATCTAAGTCACAACAATAGAAGAACACAGTCTGCTGAACATAATACTACACAAACATTAGATGTTGCCATGGTTTAATTGCACATAACATGTAAACATTCACAGTGCAGGGAGGAAAAAGTATGTGAGGCCCTAGCTTAATGACTTCTCCCAGAGCTAATTGGAGCCAGGAGTGAGCCAACCTTGACTCCAATCAGTGTGATGATATTGGATGTGTTGCTGACAGCTGTCCTGCCCTTAAAAAACACACACCTGTTTTGGGTTTACTGGTTTCAAGAAGCACTATCTGATGTGAACCATGCCTCGCAGAAAAGAGCTCTCAGAAGACCTACGATCAAGAATTGTTGACTTGCATGAAGCTGGAAAGGGTTACAAAAGTATCTCCAAAAGCCTTGCTGTTCATGTGTCCACGGTAAGACAGACTGTCTACAAATGGAGAAAGTTTAGCACTGTTGCTACTCTCCCTAGGCGTGGTCGTCCTGTAAAAATGACTGCAAGAGCACAGCGCAGAATGCTGCATGAGGTAAAGAAGAATCCCAGAGTGTCAGCTAAAGACCTACACAAATCTCTGGCACATGCTAACATTTTTGTTGACACATCTACAATAAGGAAAACATTAAACAAGAATGGAGTACATGGGAGGACACCACGGAGAAAGCCATTGCTGTCCAAAAAGAATATTGCAGCACGTTTGAAGTTTGCAAAAGAGCACCTGGATGTTCCACAGCACTACTGGCAAAATATACTGTGGACAGATGAAACCAAGATTGAGTTGTTTGGGAAGAACACACAACACTATGTGTGGAGAAAAAAAGGCACAGCACACCAACATCAAAACCTCATCCCCACTGTAAAACATGGCGGAGGGAGCATCATGGTTTGGGGCTGCTTTGCTGCCTCAGGGCCTGGACGGATTGTTGTCATTGATGGGAAAATGAATTCCAGAGTTTATCAAGACATTTTGCAGGAAAACGTACGACCATCTGTCCGCCAACTGAAGCTCCGCAGAGGATGGGTGATGCAACAGGACAATGACCCAAAGCATACAAGTAATTCAACAAAACAATGGCTGCAACAGCACAGAATACGCCTTCTGGAGTGGCCCAGTCAGAGTCCTGACCTCAACCCGATTGAAATGCTGTGGCATGACCTTAAGAGAGCGATTCACACCAGACATCCCAAGAATATTGCTACACTGTAACAGTTTTGTCAAGAGGAGTGGTCCAAAATTACTCCAGATCGTTGTGCAGGTCTGATCTGCAACTACAGGAAACGTTTGGTTGAGGTTAGTGCTGCCAAAGGAGGGTCAACCAGTTATTAAGTCCAAAGGTTCATATACTTTTTCCTCCCTGCACTGTGAATGTTTACATGTTATGTGAAATTAAACCATGGCAACATCTAATGTTTGTGTAGTATTATGTTCAGCAGACTGTGTTCTTCTATTGTTGTGACTTAGATGACATTCAGAGCACATTTTATGCCCAATTCATGCAAAACTCCACGGAATCCCAAGGGGTTCACATATTTTTTCTTGCAACTGTACATGTGTGGTATTACTGCAATCGTCAGCAGCAGGAAAATTTATTTTGGGTTGTTCTTTGGTGGTAGGTTATTGTAGTATACAGCTACATTTAAAAGAATAATTTTTTTTTTACTATTTTGTGTCAGTTTTCCTTTGATAATAAAAAAAAAAAATCAGGAGATTTACATAAGAATTTACCACCAAATGAAAGCCCAATTTGTCCTGAAAAGGTATAATTCATCTGGATATACAAAGTGGTTGTGATGATATATACAGATTTACTAACACATGTCAAAGTTGGAAAATTGAACTTAGGCATTAGGATTTGTTTTACCCTTAGGGATGAAGAGGTTAAAGAATATGTTACCCCCAACATTTCATATTCCCTATATGTGCCTGCTGTACCATGTACTTGTATTAAAAAGTATTCTGTTCTCTTTGTTTTCTTTATGTGAAATATCTGGTGTTCCTGCCAGTCCCCTTGCTTTCCTATTTCACATTGACAATGAATTTTGGGCAGCTGGCAGCATAACACATTATAGTTATACCAGAGATGGCAGGGAAAGGTTACGGAGGCCGCATTCCCGCTCATCATTGCAAAAGCTGTCAGCATCATTTAAGCTACTGTGTTGCTGCTGTGCAAGTGGCTCAGGGTGGTTATGCACACCTGCTTGGCCTGTTTGTACCTTGTTGGAACTTTTACAATATACTGTTCATATTGCTCAGCTTCTGTGTGATCCCTGTTGCCGGAGCAGCATGCTGCGCCCTGCTCACACGAGTGAGCAACTCCCTCTTGTTACTATGCAGCTGGGCATCTGCTTGGCATGAGACCCGAAAGACAGTGGTGATTAGAGGCAACTCTTCCCTCTATATTGGCCCTATACAACAGGTATGGAATATGCATACTAACAATGCTGGACCAATATAGCTATGCAATAAAATCTATACCTGGAGTTCAGCTTGAAACTAAATTTTGTAGAAGACGTTTTAGTTTAAAGTCTAAGAAAATATCTTAGAAACGTATAAATTTAAATTCTCTGCTTGTTCCTAAAAAAGTGACTAACTTTGTATCAGTAATTTTTTCTTTATTATTTAATAGAAATTGATGTACCTGAGGATATAAGCTCTTTGGGTGTCAGAACTGTGAGGTATGAGATGTTCACCAGCAAGTAGAAGACAATCACGGCACACATGGCTGCTATTACACTGCGAGGAATGTTCTTGCTTGGGTTTTTTATTTCCTCTGAAAAATAGAAACAAAAACAAAAAATCAATAAAATATAGAGCAACCCTTGTCATAGGAAAATGCTGAAAAAGTGATCAGTGGTAAAGACAGAAGAAACCATTTGAACTCTCTGGCTTTTTATATTATGTTTTTACTGCCGTGAAAGAAAATCTTTAAAGTAATATGGAATAACAGTACACAACAGGATAATGTCGCAACTTTTGAATCCTTAATATCTTTGGTATTGCTTAGAATGGGCACTGTGCAGCAAAATGTTGTTGGGCTTCCTTCTACTCAACTTTCCAACAGTGTACTTCAACTCAGCTATCTACTGCACCTGGACCTTCTTGCTTGCCTCCTTTTCCTGTCTACTACACATATACAGAGTGAGAGATTAGCTGTACAGAATCAGGATAATCTCAGATATTTGTTGCTACACGCCCCACTATCATGCTTTATTATTAGGTGGACAGGGGGCAGATGGCTTCTTCTCTTGTTTGCTCTCTTTGGCTCCATGTAGAGTCTTGTCTCTGACAACAAAATTAGCCAGCCGTAGATCAAGGCTGTACATAGAGTATGCCTAGCACTAGAGGTAAATGTATCAGACTATGAACTAGAGCAGGAGTCTCTAAACTTTCTAAACAAAGGGCAAGTTTACTGTCCTTCAGACTGTGGGGAGACCAGTGGGAGTAGAAAGTGTGCTGGCATCCAATGGGAGTAAACAATGCCTTAGCTTTGGTGTCAGTGGGAGGACTAGTGTGTTGGTGTCAGTGGAATGAATAGTGCCTTATTGTTGGTATCAGTGGAAGGAATTCTGCTCTATTGGTGGTGTCAATGGCTGGAATAGTGCCCCAAAGGCCAGATAAAAGCAAACAAAGGGCTGCCTTTGGGCAAAAGTTTGGAGACCGCTGAATTAGAGGAAAGGAAATAAGCCACTGCCTAATTAAAAAAATGATCTCTTGATGATAGTGTAGTTAATAACATAGCAAAGCTTGTAGGTCATGGTTGGCTAAAAACTTTCTTTTTTTTACTAGTATTGGGTAGATTGGGGAAGGGTTTAAATCTCTGTCAAGTTTTTTATTGCTGTCTGTGTCTCTGTTGAAGAGATTCATGCTCTTTATTTTTGTTCTTGGTTACTGTCAATAGGTCACAACCACTGTCCCCAGGAAGAGAACGCTCCCAATGGGGACACCTTTTCCAGTGAGCACTATCAGAGGTACTCTCACTTTGTGAAAAGGAAATTCTATTACTATCTAGAAACAGAAAAGCTCACTGCGCTCAAGCCCTGGTCCCAGTCTGGATGAATGAGCGATGCCAGTGCTCAGTCTTCGTCTTCTGTAGGCTAACATTTGACAATGGCATCCAAAAGAGTTGGAATCAAGACTGGATCCAGTGAATGTAAGAACTCCTTCATTTAGACATTGGGTTAGAAATCCATAAAATCAGACACACTTATGCATTTAATCCTTTTGGCCTCAGTCATAGCCCTACTACTATCTGTTGTGTCAGAAGGAAAAGAAAGTAGAAGTCATCCCAACAAGGACACAGACAATATAATGTATGCAGAGATCTTAAACCCTTTGCCATTCTATCTAAAATTAGAACATGATTTGGCTGGAATTCCATTCTAATTTTCTATAAAGTATATATTTAACCTATGTATACATAGAGTCAAGTTTGTTCATTTGGTAAACTTTCTATTTCATAGTTATTTATAGAATGATTGTTCACGGTATGAATCTTTGGGTCCAAATATCCCGGTATACTCTCTTTTTACATATCACTGCACTTACAGAGGCGATGGAGCACATCTCCAACACTTCTAAATATAGAGAAGTAAATTAATCCCACTTGTTTAAAGTAGAACTACACTTTGTAGAGTAAACTGAAAAGAGATACAGTTTCTTCCAGATACCCCAGAGCACAACATTGAAGTTTAAATAAATACATCGGAAATCAACTGTGACTAATTCTTAACTCTGAACAATGTGGTTTTATCATGGCGCAGTCTTTGTTTGTCTGGCAGCTAAAGTTAAACAGACAAGTACACAATGTACTACAAAACAACACAAAAATTCAAGAACATTTTAGTGGGCCTGATTACATCTAATTATAGCTTCACAATACGTAGTGTTATTACACCAAGCAATTATTGGCATGTATACAATGTTATAGTTGAACATATGTACACTTAGTAAGAAAGCACTCAGCTGGAAAGCTAATTCCTTTTCCACCTAGGGGGTAAACAGTCTGTGTTGTCGATTGTGCAATTAAAGTGCAGCATATTTTACTTTGCCATAAAATGCACTTAAAAGCAATGAGTCTCATTTACACTATCATTAGAGAATTTCCCATCTGTGAATATATGCTGGAAATAGCTTCCTGCTTAAATACTTCAAACCACACAGCGGAGCATTGTCTTAATAAATTACATTTGGCAGAAATAAGTGATTGGAAAAGTTTAGGATAGCACTTTGTGCTATGAGACGAGAAAGTTCCATGTGTGCAAATTTCAGCGAGACCATAACTCTACAGATGGCAAATATATATATATATATATATATATATATATATATATACACATAACTATATATATATATATATATGTATATATATACTATATATATATATATATATATATATATATATATATATAGTTATGCACCGATATATCGGTCAACAAAAAAATAAACAGCCGAAAATAAGGTTATTGGCGTTTTGCCTACAGAAAAAGAAAAAGGTGCCAATAATGTCGGTATTATATATATATGTATATATATTTATTTATTTATCTGTATATGTATATCTATATCCTCCCATGCTCACCTCTAGGACTTCTCTAGAGCTTCTTCCATAAATGATATTAAATGGATAAACCACAATAATAGACATATATAGGTGACTGATAAGTGCCGGAATAAAGTGCCAAAGTCTATATATTGAATGGTGATCGTTCGTGTGTCTTCTGGTGATAAAATATTCAAATTATACACTCACCAGATGCATAATTCAAATATGCATTAAGAAGATATATCCCATCTCAAGGTCTCAAATGGAATCCTCTTAAGGACTTGTCTAGCATCTTTAGGCTTCCCTCTGGGCACCTCTTACCATCTGGGGTTCCCTTTGGATCATCCGATATAGCACCTCTCAGTTACCTGCCCTGGTGGCTCTGTGGGTGGTGGACTTGTCCGATGCCGCGATATTCCAGAGATGTTGCATATCCCTCACTTACACAGCTCTGAAGTTTGAAGGGCTCTAGTGATTTTAATCTCCTTTCCACAGTTGTTAGCTCTGTACTCATTCGTCTTGTGTTTCCTCCTGTTGTGTTCATAGTACATGTAGTGATATCCTCACAGGAGCCACTTGGTAGATTGTTCTTCTTCTTCAACTCTGAGAACATCTACAGCCCACCGACACACCAGGTTAAGCAAATGAGTACTGCACTGCTACTGGGACCACAAATATGGATATCCTGCACACAACTAAGGTCCAGTATCAAAAAAGAAAACATCAGACTGGTTACAGGCAGTCCCCAAGTTACAAACATCCAGCTTAAATACGACTCGTACTTAAGAACGGAGGCTGCATTATGTCATACTGGTCCTGAAAATGCCCAGATGGCCATCTTGCTGCTCACCACATGCTGCCACCTGCTGTTCAGCGGAGCTGTCCGTAATCCCGCATCAATGTGTGGCCAGTTAACCCTTCCCTATGCTATCCAAAATTTAAAAATAATTGTTTGGTTGGAGGTACACTTATACCTGTTCCAACTTGCATACAAATTCAACTTAAAAACAAACCTATAGAACCTATCTTGTTCATAACACAGGGAATGCCTGTAGTGGTAAATTAACCCAATACACCCTGTTCCAAATTATTATGCAAATTCTAGTTAAGTGTCACAAAGATTAAATATTGTGTTTTTCAGTTTAACACATGGATGACATTGTGTCTCAGGGCTCTTTTGATCACTGAAAACAATCTCGGACACCTGTGATAATTAGATTGGCAGGTGAGCCCAATTTAAGGAAAAACTACTAGAGGAGGGTGTTCCACATTATTAAGCAGAGCACCATTTTCAAGCAATATGGGGAAGAAAAAGGAACTCTCTGCTGCCAAAAAGAGTGAAATAGTTCAATGGCTTGGATGAGGCATGAAAACATTAGATATTTCATGAAAAATTAAGCGTGATCATCGCACTAGTAAGAGATATATGGCTGATTCAGAGCACAGACGCGTTCGTGCAGATAAAGGCACATTGAGGAAGATTTCTGCCAGATCCATGCATCAGATCAAGAGAGCAGCTGCTAAGATACCATTACATAGCAGCAAACAGATATTTGAAGCTGCTGGTGCCTCTGGAGTCCCATGGACATCAAGGTGTAGAGTCCTCCAGAGTCTTGCAACTGTGCATAAACCTTCTATTCGGCCACCACTAACCAGTGCTCACAAGCAGAAACAGCTGCATTGGGCAGAGAAATACATGAAGACTAATTTTCAAACAGTCCAGTTCACTGATGAGTGCCGTGCAACCCTGGATGGTCCAGATGGATGGAGTAGTGGATGATTGGTTTAACGGCCACCCTGTTCCAACAAGGCTGCAACGTCAGCAAGGCGGTGGTGGAGTCATGTTTTGGGCCGAAATCATGGGAACAGAGCTGGTCGGCCCCTTTAGGGTCCCCGAAGGTGTAAAGATGACCTCTGAAAAGTATGTGGAGTTTATGACTGACCACTTTCTTCCCTGGTACAGAAGGAAGAACTTTGCTTTCCGTAATAAAATCATCTTCATGCATGACAATGCACCATCTCATGCAAAGAATACCTCTGCATCAATGGCTGCTATGGGATAAAAGGAGAGAAAGTCATGGTGTGGCCTCCATCCTCCCCTGACCTCAATCCTATTGAGAACCTTTGGTGCATCCTCAAGCAAAAGATCTATGAGGATGGGAGGCAGTTTACATCCAAACAGCAGCTCTGGGAGGCTATTCTGACATCTTGCAAACAAATTCAAGCAG